CATAATATATATATATATATATATATATATATATATAAAAGTATATTTATTTACACGCTCTATCTCTGATATTGAGCACTTTATCCCATAAATATAGCACACCTTAAGACTATAAATCTTTATATATATATATATATATATATATATATATATATATATATATATATATATATATATATATATAATGAAATGGAATGATTACGGCAATTCTTATATACATATATTATAAAATATTTTACATCGTTACATAAACGTTTCTATGGTACGGAACTTAAAATTGTTCCCCATCAGGCAATGTTGGATATTATAATAATATTTAGCTCTACATTCTATCGAGTATTTTTTTAAAAAAAAGTAAAAGCTATTCTTAATCTGTCTATTCTTTCTCTTTATATATATATATATAAAAACATAAAATTCTTTAATAAATATATATATATATATATATATATATATATATATATATATATATATATATATATATATATAACAAAGTCCCTGATTTAAAATAAATAATTCATCACATACTAAACGGTTCTAATATAGATATAGATATAGATAAAACAAACAAACTGGCAGACAGGCACTCTCTCAGGTCTGGACATTGGAAGGTGATAAGCTAAGGTAATTTAATTTGATTTATGATTCCCACTCGTGCTCGGAGATCTCTAGGCATTTCGGCACACATAATTTTGTCTATCTTTCATTCTACTCTGATGAATTTAAAGTGAGCATACAGTCTCCAGAGAAACGCGTCGTTAATAAATTTTCTACTTTTCTTTCGTATACTTATTATCTTACGTTCAAATACCTTTGGGAAAGATTTGAATTCATCTCATCAACCCCACCACCTATGGGTTAAATAGCAGGACAGATTACGTCCCATGGCCTTGAGTGGCAACTGAACGAAAAGCCTCCAACTATGGTTTAAATAGCCTCACCAACCCGCAATTGACCAATCTGGGAGGGTTTCAGGAGATGGAAGGCCGTGGATTCTGATATGGATAATATTGAAATCATTTTAACAGATTACTGTATCTCTTTGTAAGAGAACAAAACGGCTTTCTCAACAAAATATTTCAGTTGACCCTGGGCTGTTTTTTTTTTTTTCGTTTTGTTTAATTTTTTTTACTTGCAAGCTCAAAGTAAACAAAAAACGTGTTTAATTTTCGCCGTTGTGACACCTCACAACCTATAAATCAGTTTATACTGAGAAAATATATTTATTCACTGTCACCCCTTTGGGATATTTATTTCATAAAACAAATATGATTCAGCCTCAAAGAAAATCTATACATGTTCCAACGAAGGATTAAATCCATATTTTTTGTATTTGCCATTGTAACCCTCCCAGCTCACTACATCACTTTCTATCTCTCCCTCTCTTCTTCACTATGCCAGGACGTGGGAGGTCATGACTCTCTACAGCTTCCTGTCTTTTATTTCTCTAAATAATTCTTGCTACTTTTAGGTGCCTCTTTGCTGTTGTATTATTTATTTCTTCTACAAATTTGATGTTGTTTCCTTCCGTTTTTTTTATCTTCTTTATATCATGTGAATGTTAAATTTCTGCCCTCATTATTTTTGTTCCAATTCTACTTAAAAGCTTCTGCCTGTGTAGCTAATCAGTATTTCATTGATAGATTGATTCGTTTTCGACTGCTTATCAAACCATTGTAGGTTATTTAAAGCCAGTTTTTTTTTAGATTGCAACATTTTGAGATACTAATGATTTAGTGATACAAATCTTATTAATTAACCCATAGTGGGGAGAAGAAGGGTAATTTGGCGTGACGGAATATAACGAAATCAGCAGGAATTCGGAACCTAGCTATCCGATTAAAAATTTCAAGCCATTATCCATTAAACTATCCGCAAATCTAAGCTTACAGCATCTGGTATTCCTATGAGATTACCCATCTAGTCAGTGACCAGGCGTGACATCACTTAACTTCGGTGATCAAACGGGACACGATTGAAAGGAGAAGACGTGTGAAGGAGAGGAAGGTGGAAATTTGCAGAAAAAGAACGCTGGTCATATTCCCACATAGCAAATATGAATCATAGCTTCAACTGGCAAACTGGTGTTGCGAATTGACATTGAAAGTGAAACTTACAAGACACCCCGATAAATTAGGTGCTAAAATTTAGTGTAAATTGATATAATAATTAAATAATATAATTAGTCATGATTGGGTTATCGTAAGTGGGGCGAGACTACAGTACTTTTATCTAGTTAGGCATCCAAAGGCTAATTATTTATTCAAATTTGTCCACAAATCGAGCATACTGTCTTTTATTTCTGAGTTTTCAACCGGCAAAGTATAGATTATTTACGAAGTTTTACATTGTCAGGACAAAAAATAAAATACTTTCTGTTCCTGAGCACTCATTAAAATAGGTACTATTTATAAAATTTGAATAGTCTGGCACAAGACCACACATGTTTAAAATACCCAGTGTTCTATCAATTTAAAAGCTTAGGTTATGTTTTATAATAATAATAAGAACACTGGTCAACACCAACAACAACATCAAAAAACGAAATTGTATCGATACACCAAACATCTTTTTTTAGCTAATTTGAGTACGCTGAATTTGAAAATGACAGTACTTTTCTTGGTAAGCTGTACAGAAATGCCTCATTTTGGGGGGGAAAAAGCATTTTTTCATTTGATTTCTGTACATATGATATTGATCGACGGTAATATTTCTCAAAATAAAATCGTAGAAACTTCTCAGTTCAATAAGTATTGACCTGTTTATTGAGAAATACTATTTTTTCAATAACAATCAGACCATAAGTCTGTTAAAAAAGAAGATGTAACCTTAATTATTAGGTTTACTAAAGTGCACTACTGATAGAGTTTATTAGTTAATTTGAATTTTGGTGACAAATTGGAAAAATTCGGTACTTTTTAAAAATGTTTGACTCAAAAACACTTTTTTCTTATAAAAATAGTTTATTTCAGGTGGCTGACATGAATTCATCGGCCAAACTGAAAATTGACAAATTTTCACGACTATTAGTAACTACATTTTGGTAAATTACTTCTTGGAGTGATTTGTAACACAGTTGCGTTTCTGTCTTTGGGCAGGGTGCACTCAGGAGCGGCTCCGTCAAAGGAACTGAGAAAAATTATACTGAAAGGTTCCCAGTCCTGGGGAACAGCTGCCAAGGTCGCGCCCTCTCATTGCACCAGAGAGAGGGATCGTGCTCGAACTGAGGCCATCGCAACCGATGTTTGCGTGGGCTGCGGGCAATTGTTGTTCCTTGCCCGGGTGTACATGCTCGGGTTCCTACCTTAAAAAAAGACCTTGTGTCTCAACTCGTCTTAGTGGGGAGACAGAGTAAATACCTAGTAACTACATTTTGCAATCAACCAAGATTGTAATTTTTTTTCACATATGAGCAATCTCAGTAGAGCAATAATGGGAGCTATAAACGTGTTTTGCTTCTTAGCACCAAAA